GGACTGAGCTGATACTGATCCATTTTTCTGAGGTGCATCGGGGAAGCTTCTAAGTCATTTGTCTGTCTGACTGGGTTATCTGAGAGCATCTTCCGAAAACTTAATCTAATTGCAGAGCATTGATCTTGCCAGGCATTAGCCCGTCAGGAGTAAGCCCCCCTCTACTCCTGCTTCTCCACCCCAGGGCTGTGACAAAAGCCTTGTCACAAGGATGTGCCATGGAGAAAGACAGCCTATCCTTTCCTGGGCGGAAGCCGATGGCTCTTCAGGCCACAGCAACCTTACGCTGATGAGTGAGGAGAGAAGAGCTAGGCAGGGGATTCTGGGCGGCTCCATGGGGTGTGTGCATGGAGAAGAGCAGTGTCTCTCTGGGGCCTGACATGGGGCCAAGCCAAAGGGTATCTAACAGGGTCCTTGTTTTCCAGGGACATTCGGAGCCTGGGCATCACCATGATGGGTCACCAGAAGAAGATCTTGAACAGCATCCAGGTCATGCGATCCCAGCTGCTGAACACGAATGGTCCCAGGAGGCATCTCTGATCACCAGCTTTGCAGACCCGCATTGGGCATTCCTTAACACTTACCCTGGCAAAGGGGCAGCAGGGTAGTGAGCAGGGAGAGGGGTGCCAGATCAAGATCTGGAGCCCCTCCAGCAACTCTTTGATTTGAGTTCCAGTGGAAACATGGCTTCCCAGATACCTTGATGATCCTGCTGTCTCCCATCTGAAGAGGGGAGCAGCCTTCCAAGCAGGCTAGGGACAGGCCATTCCTCTCTTCATACTCTACCATGTTGCTGTGGGACCAGGAATCTTCAGACAACTATGCAGTGCAGGTGGTAACCCCCTTAAACAGAGGGATGCCCCTAGCTGCACCTGCAGATGGAAGGGCAGCTGATGCAATAGCAATACCAGGAGCAGTAGGACTTGGCTTGTCATGCCCCATGGCTCCTTTGGATCAGACAGCTGATCCTGCTTTGTATTTCCAGTGAATTTGTTGTATCTCTGAACTGAAGAGTCCCCCACAGGATGCCACATGGCAGTGAGAACCCTGCTCCCAGTACCTTGCAATTCCAGTGTACTCCAACCTGGACCTCCAGAGCTGCTCCAGCCTCCAAGTGACTTCATGGCCCACCTCCACCAAGCCCAGGATGGCAGGGGATGGAGTACTGGGCAAGTCAGCAATATTAGGAAATGCTGGCAGGAGTGCAGGCTGGTTCTGCGTGCAGAGGAGGCTTCCCCAACATAGAGGGAGAAGTGGCCAGGAGCTGCTATCAAGAGCCTCAGGAAGCTCCAGGGTACACTGGAGAGTCCCCACTTCTTGAACCCACCAGCACTGCTCCTCTCCAGATCCAGCACAGGCATACCAGGGCAGCCCAGGCACATTTTCTAGGGCTCCAAGCTCAGGTTTCTCCCATGGCAGAACTATCCCTCCTGCCCTGTGGCCTCCTGTAAAGCTGTACCAGAGCAGAGCAGAGTGAGAGAATTTGCTCACTGGGGTCAGAGAGATTTCTGTCAAACCCCAATTTGTTCTTTTATTGCCCTAGAGAAACCCAAGAGCTTCCTGTTACCAAGTTGCCTGCCTATGCCCGAGGTTGCCTTGTTCTCTGCACAGGACAGTTTGGAGCAACATTTCCAGCTGCAAGCACACAGCCCCCTGGCTGGGGACAGGGGCTCTGCTCAGCTGATGCTGCATGTCAGGCAAGGCTCATAGGATCTTCAGCATCACCCAGCTGATGAGCCCCATGACTGAGAGGCAGTTTGACCTTTCTGCCACAGCTCTCCTCTCTCCTCCGTTGGGAGCATCTCTTTTAACAAGCTTGCCTGGAGTGGAGCAGAGGCCTCCAGAGGCATGCGGAAGGGCTGAGCGGGCTGCAGAGATGGGGCTGTGCCAGGGAGGGTGAGCAGGCCATGGGCTGAGGAGGCTTCTCTGGGGTGTAAATACAATTTTCTATGGGGTTCAGAACTGTTTTACTAATGTCTGATGTTAAGTACACAAAAATGGTCTCAAAGCACAGAAGCCTTGGTCATGAGGCTGAACTCACTGCAAAAAACTCTGCTGGAAGGTGAGCTGGGGCAGTGCTGCTGGAGATGGTCTCTCTGGACACTGGAGAGGAACCACACTGACTGTCAGAAACCAGCATGGCCCCAGGATCCTGCCCTTAGCACTGTAAGACTGTCATCACTCCAGTGCGAGTACTGGCAGGAGCTGGCTTGAGGTCTGCTCCTCCCAGTGCTGGTGGTTGTTTGGGCACAGGAGGGGAGGGTTAAAGCCATTTTCCAGCTGCAATAATCCTGGCTAAACTGGCCTTTCTGAGGCTGGCTTAGTTTTCCATCTAGGGCACCTATGTCCTGATGGATTTTTGTGACTTTGGTGGGCACTCTACTTCTTCCTATGGAAGCTCTTTGTAACGGGGGACAGATGCAATGTGTTGTTTAATTTATATTGCACCCTGCATCCTGCACTCAGACCTGTCACACACTCACCCTGCAGTCGGTGTAATGATTGAAGTCAGTCCAAACCCTGCAGTGGGTGCTGGCTGTGTCCTCTCTTCTCTATGCATGGGACTCCTTGGTGAGTGAATTCTGCCTGGACAAACCATCCCTACACCTATGAGAGAGGTGAGGTCAGGCCAGACAGACCTGTGTCCTTGGGGTCACGGAGGCTGGACAGTCCCAGTCCTCAGGGCTACAGGGTTTTCTGGGCAGCCCTGGGAAGGGAGGCTGTGGGATCTGAGCCTGTGGCAGCCTATGGGCTGCCAGACAGCTCCTGTCCCCAGTAGCAGAGTTCATGGGGCTGATTCTGCAGGTTGGGGTAGTTGGACCGCACCTTGGCTGAGCTTTAGTCCCTGGGCCACACGGGCTCTGGCCGTGAGGATGGCTGGGCAGGTTTTGCCTGCTACATTCAGAGCCTGCACCTCTTTCTGGATAATAAAACGCCTCCTTCCCACAGGGCATCTCATCACCTATTACTGGGCCTGTGCCTCACACAGCTGCTTCACAGCTGGTAGAGTTCATACAGGCCTTCACAGCTGCTTCACAGGCATGGAAATGCCCAGGTAACCACCTGCATCTGCTCCAGAAAGCCTCTCCCGTGTGGTGGATGCTTCCTTGGAGAGCAGGAGCATCTGTAGGATGAGTGCGCATGCCTGGACCTGTGTGCATAAGGAATGGCCAAGTCACTAATCACTTGTAGACTTCCTGTGTGGGTGTTATTGTGCTGTGGGGTCAGGAGAAGGCCTCCCCTCAAACACAAGGCCGTTCCTACATAGGGTTATGTAAGCATGTGAGATCATGTGTGTAGATGCTCTTCTGAACTCCAGCAATGAGTCCCTTGTGGACTTGCTATAAGCTGTAACCAAAGCACACTGGAGATGAAACACATGGGTTGTTTGCAATAGCACAAACTGCTATTGCCTCGAACAGCCCCAAGAATAGACATAGGAGTAGAAAGCTGAGATTCTTCCTGTGCTCCCAAGTCCAACTTTAAGTCTCAGCCCTCATGGATCCCTTGCAGGTTCTCCCAGATCTAGGCTTACCCTCTCCTGGAAATTCAGGAATTGTTAAAAAAACAAAACAAAATTAAAAAAACCCAACCCCCCACCCTGAGCTAAAGTAATTTATAGGCATTTGACTGTGATCCCAGCTACCCTCCAACAAAGGATTTGCCAGCATTCGAGCTGCAGGGACAAAGGTGTTTACAGAAAAGAAGGATATGTTTCTTGCTAGAAAAAAACAAAAAGGCTGGAAGGCCTGTTTGAGGCTGGATGCATCCCAGCACACGGCAGGATTGGCTCTATCCATGTCACTGCTGGTACACATGGCCCCTCTGTCCCTGCGGCCTTTCAAAGATGAAGGTGACCCCCCACCCCCACCCCCGGGAATCCACCCCTGCTCCACTGCCCACACTGCAGGAAAGGCCAGCCTTGCTCTCCAGAAACGTCATGTAACCCGCCTGTTCCTGTCCCTCCAGGAACACCATCTCCACCACCACATTCATCTTTCCTATCACCCACATCATGACTGCAGGATGCCCATTGCTGTTTCTGTGCTCATGTCCCTGACCTATCCCGTCCCTGACCCTTCTCTTTTCCCCACCGCCTCCCAAACACATCCTTAGGCATCATGTTCCACATATATGGTTTCCTGGAGCCTTTGTTTGTCATAGAGTCACAGAAATGTGGTTGGAAAGGACCTCTGGACCCCACCTCATCCAGCCTCCTCCACAAACACATCCTTCACATACAGCTGTTAGGATCTGCTCAGACCCTCTCTCCGTTGTGCGGACATGGACAGCAAGTGGATACCTCATTCACAACTCACTGCTGGCACTAGGCATGCAGGACAGCTAGGAAACGCTGGGAGATATTGATGTTCATTGACGACCTACATTTTGTTGATTTATTACACTTAAGAATAAAGCCAGCATTCACATTCTGCAATATGAATCAACTTTCTTAAATCCCTCAATTTCAAAGCAAACACTTGATCCAGGGAAGGATGGCTGATACTGACGCCACTCCAGGTAAAGTCAGGGACAGATACGCTCTGCTAGGCAGGCGTTTGCTGCTCTGCATGGTTAGGGACCCATTCTCAGAGCTGCTGCAGAGATACGACAGTATCAGCTTATGTATGTTTGTGAGGAGTATGCCCAGGACATTGTCCCCTTGGGAGCTACACCCACAACTCTTAACGATCCAAGCAGGAAGATGAGACAAGACTGTATCATTTTTAACATGTCATTTCTCCCCCCTTGTGGAGGAAATTGCCATGAGCAATGCAAGCCCAGGAAGGGCCACTCATTCAGAGTTCTCCTCCAGGACACAGGTACATTTGCAGGCTCCTGTGTACCACTCCATGTCCCGGTAGTTGTGCCCTGCTGCAGCCAGTGACTGCCAGGGCTGGCCAGGGCTGGCACATGGGATTCCCGAAGGCTGAGAGAAGAACCAGCTTGGGACCCAACCCCTCATGAAGGGGTACCATGGGGAACATGTCCAGGGGAAGGAGCTGACCAGAAGGACAAACTCCTCCACCTGAGGAGAGGCTATGGAAACTCTGGACATATCAGCAAATAAAACCCCTCATGTATGAAAATAGCCAGCATGGCTTTCACATTGTCTTAAATGTCCCCAGGGAGACTTTTATTCCAGCAGAGCAGAGAGAGCTTAGTCACATCCGACTCCCAGCTACTGATAAGTCATCTCTGAAGCATTTCATTTATAGCTGTCTAAGTCAAATTTGGCTGTGTCATTAATAAATGAGGTTCTGCTGGCTTTGAGTGCCTGGAGGTGGCAGTCTGGACTTACAGAGCACCTGCAGAGCCCCATGTGAAAGCACCCATCTTAGGTTCGCACCCATGCTCATTTATGTCAGCTTTATGCAAGCTCGCAGGGGTCAAATACACTCCGTGGATAGTGTTAGCAGATGGTGAACTCTGCTTCATATTTACTGATATGATTCCTGTCTGATCACATACCAGCTTAGTCTGCCAAGGAATGCTGTATTCCCAAATCACCTTCTCTCTTTGTTTTTAGCACAGCCATTTAGCATCATGTCCAAGTAAATTACTCAGGATAACCTGATGTAGGACAGGAACATCATCCGCAGCTGAAAGGGTTAAAACTAGGTTCTACATGGGTTTTGAAATATCCTTTAGCTCATGTCTGGGTTGAGAGTCACCATTGCAGAATGAGTTAGCTGCACATTTCCTCCCAGGACGGATCAGTCCGGAGATTCCAGAAGTGCTGGTTTTGCAAACAGGGCAGGTCCTGCCCAGCCTCAAGTGAGCTGGGCTCAGGAGGGGATGAGTCAGGACTGCAGCAACCGCGACTTGTCTTACAGTGCCTGGGAACATGGGATAGGATTTAATGCACAAACGTAGGTCTGAGAGTTAGAGATCTTCATTTGAGTGGTTGCCTGTTTAGACCAAGTGGGAAAAGGAGGAAATGGGTGACAGTTTATCTCTCTCTCTCGCTGTGGCCACTTGCTTTGTGAAGGTACCTTTCTCTTTCCATTGTACATAAGAGGGAACCCAGGGTGATCAGCTGGACCTCCACACCTCTAGTTACATGATACTGATCCCTTCTCTGTATCCAGTTGTAAAGGCCTAAAGGGCAGCACTTGCTCCATATGTACCCATGTTTTAATGCTGATCTCAACACAGGAGCAGTAGGACCAACTCTCTGCACTTCCCACTCACCTCCCTTCCCACATCCCCCGGGGACTCAGAGCACATGTCTCTGGTGAGGTTAGGCACTGGACTTAAAATAAAAACAGATGAGCTTTGGACTGATGCAGAGCAAAGGGGAGTGGTAGACATTGTGCAGAAAAGTCTACTAGGATCCCTGATGGGAAGGTGGGCCTGGTGCTACATTTCTGCCCTCTCTCATCGTCCATGACCATTTGGGTACCATGGGGATACTGGGTGCTTCTTGTCTCCCAGCTCTGGGTGAACGGCCCCCTGAGTCCAAACTGGGAGAAGGACCAGACTGACCCCCACTGCGTGCTGGGACAGACACCCAAAACATGATGCCACTGGTCTGTGGAATGTAACCCAAAGTCTGTATGCACACAAACCGTGCAACTCCTCAGGGACCTATGGCCAAACCCAACATCATGTACATGGCCTAGGGATGCGCAGTTTTCTGTGCGGTACACGAACACGATGCCCAGTGCTCCACCCTCTGACTATTTTAGGGCTCTCCTACCCAACAATTACAGGTACAATTACATCTGCTCTTCTGAGCAGGCTGTCAGATTTCCACAATATCCTGGACAAAAAACAGAGTCCTTCAGATTTCCTGGATGAAGCACCCTGGTGGGCGTTTTTTGGGAAATCCCAATGCATAGCTGCTTTTAGCTGGCCTGCTTATGCTGGCCCATTCAGGATGGGAATTGCAGATCACTTGCAGGTGCCGAGGAGATTTCTGTATGCGAAACTGGCTACACTTCCCTTACACAATGTACTGTTTATTCCTAGAAGTAAAAATCAAGACAGTTATTTTCTGAGTTAAAAAAAGACTGTGGGGCTACGCAACATGAAGAAAACTTGTGAAAAGGGTGAAGACCTATTAACCTGTTGATCCCAGGCATGGCACATTAGAGCATTTCATTTTGCTGATACTGAAGAAGTTTAATTATTCCCAAGAATTCAGTGGTATATTCCTGACCCTAGAGTATTTCACTCATAGATTTAGCATTACTCATCATTGTTTCATATCTTCCTTGCTTTCCCATCTTCTCCCCACAAAGCTGTCCAGAAAATGGCCCTTACAAGGAGCAGACAGAGGGATGGGGCAGGAGATTAACACAGAGCAATCCATGTCCTTCCCAAACAGAGAAAGGTGCAAAATGAAATGATTATACTTGGGGAGGGAGAGGTGAGGGTATGTAGACGATGGTGAGTGGTTGTATTTGTGCATGGACAGGAGCTGGGGGGTACTGGATGGTGGAGGCATTTGAATGGATGTGCTTTGGTGCGCTCACAAAAGCGTGAGCTCGAGGATGAAGCGTGCTGCAACATGTACGCAGGATGTGCTTAAAAGAGCAGACAAGCTTACAAGTCTGAATGCAGGCTTGAAAATGGGATCGTGGAAGTACCTGGCAGCGCATAGTGTGTAAGAGCATGTGCATCCATAAATGCACCCTGCATGTGTGAGCAGGCAGCATCCCTGTGCACAGCCCCCAGGGAAGAAGTAGGAGGACCAGGCACTCACGACTCTGTGCAAGCGTGCACCCTAGGTACATGGAGAAGCAGGAGAAGCAAAAATGCATCTCCATGCGCTGTGGAACTGGCTCTGTTCCACACAAGCTACATCCCACATGGATACAGAGCAAGGAGGGACGAAGCCCCTTTTAGTGCTGGGCTCCTCTAAATCCATTATCAAAAGATGAGGTTCCTCATTAGAATTCCTTTATTTCTGTCATATTCAGAGCTGCCAGGGAAGGGTCAGCAGCACTTATGAAATTTTCAATTCTCGTAGGTTTTGAATTTACATGTTTTTTCTGTGTCTGAGCTGGAAGAAGATTATGAATAAAAGATTAAAATTGGAGGTCTCCAATCATTTAAGAGCAACGCAACGAGCGTTTATTCTGGGAACAAGCGCAAGCCAAACACTGCTGTATGAATACCAAAAATTAGCAGCAAACTTCAAACAGGGCCTAAACAAAAGGCTGTGCTCTTTGATGTGACTCTCTGCTGGGGTGCGGGGAGGAGCAAACCTGGGGAGCTGGCAAGCTCTGGGCTCTGCAGGGTCTCAGGGAGCAGAGCTACAGCCTCTTGGCACCGTCTGGAGCTCTGCGCTTGACTCCAGATGCTCCAGAGGAGAGTGGAGTCCTGTCAGCTCCACCTCTGTCCTGTCTCGTGCTAGTGGGGAGCACTTCGATTGCTGAGTCCTGCTGCAAAGCATTAGCGCTGTACCGTCGCTGGGTGCTGTGCCTCCAGGAACTCTTCCCCTACCTCCAAGATAGCTGTGCTGAGGAGGGCAATCATGAAATGCTGCTTTACTGATTCATCAAGACAAATGCTTGTCATCATCGAAGAGGTTGTACTCAGCTCACAGAGTGCTGGAACAGTCCTTTAGCAGTCGGCTCTGGTGATGGACACAAGAGGCAGGGCTTTTAGAGGCAGGAGAAATGGGGAGGTGGAAAAAGAAGGGTGGGTACAATGGATTTTAATGAATGAGGGTATGGCTGGGACAAATGGAAAGAACTGACACAATTAGAGAGAGGAAGGGGAGCTGCAATGAGCTGAGAGCACAGGGGAGTCAAAGCAGGCCTGGGTGGGAGAGGCCTCAGCAAACCATGCCTAGTGTGGAAAAGGACTTTTCGTAATGAGAGGCAATGGCTTCTTGAACAAAACCTTTGCAGCACCTGCTTCCCTGTTTGGAAAGATGAAAACGGAATGGGACTGACTGGTGCATGGCATAGTCTCTTCTGATCATGGGCATGTTCTCACTGGGTTTCCTGAATCAAGGTGATCGATAGTTAGAAATCCCATTCCGTGCTCCTAAAGATACTTGACCTTCCTCCCTGCATCCTTAGCTGGGCACATGGATTTCCAGTTCTCTTCTTTAGCAAGCCTATGAAAGTTAAGGCAATAGACACACACTTGCCTTGTGGTTTCCAGCAGAGTTTCTCCCAAGCTTTGCCAGGATAAGAGATACCTAGATCCAGGCAAAGTGTTAGTCTCCTTAATTCTCTTTTCTGCCTCAGTTTCCCTTGTCCTTTTGGAATTTTGATCCCACATCTGGAGCCAGGGGTTCAGATTCTCACCCCTACAGCCCACAAGTCCCTTTTCATGCAGTCTTTGTTTCTGAACTGCTACACATCTGTGCGTACAACGGCCTGGGGATTACTTGCTCACAGAGCCCCCGTGGCTGGTGCTCGTGCAAAGAGTGTGGCAGAAGGGTCTATGCTCTGGAATTGCCTGTGGCACCCCCAGCCATGCACAGTACGGACATGCCCATGTCCCAGGAGGTGTCTGAAGGTAATATGCTGCTGTGGGACAACCACAGAGAACCAGTGATCTAGCATGGGCTACAGCCCCGCTGTGAGTGGGAGGCTGGACAGGAAAACCCAAAGGTCCCTTCCACCACGCCGGCTGGATCCTGAGAAATATTTCTAAGCAACAGCTCTTATCAATACAAGCTGCATGTAAAGCACTAAAATGTTATGCTCCAGCTTTCCTAGATATTCCCATACGTTTAACCTCTTCCATCCTGCCCAGGACTACTAGCAAGTGTTTGAGGGTGAAGCGGTAGGTAGTGTTCCCCCACCGTGTGTGTGCTCATACCTGGGAGTGGTGGTGGATTTCAGCCAAACGTGACAGAGGACAGAGAGTACAGAGGGGCGCATGCTTCTGCAAGCTGTATGGAAATAAATGACAGTCAGAGAAAGAATGTGCGATGTAGCAGTGCCCCCACAGACAAGACGGTGGCAGCCTCAGCTTGCATCTACATACGTCCAAAAGGAGGCATGAGAAAGGGACCTATGACAGGTCTCTGTAGGCAGAGCTTTGCTCCACCTCCCAGTGAGCGCTGAGATATCTTCCTAAAGGAAAGCACCCCTAAGACTACTTGTAGCTCATGTGCTCTGTTTTT